GAATGTTACAACATGACAGTAAAACATTATTCAACCTAGGCGATTTTCTTTTTGAAGAGGGGCAGGGCATGCAGCACTTGGGCTCTTTTCTATACTTTTTCAAATCAAATCAAATTTATTTATATGGCACTTTAAAAAGAACATCCAGTTGACCAAAGTACTTTACATAGGCAGAATAAAATCATGATAAATAACTAAAACAAAATAGATTCAGTGCAAAAATAAAACAATAACTCAGACACACAGATGACACACATTCAATAAATTAGATTAAAAGGAATGCATCAGGCCCTACTGTGTATTAATGGACACTATGTTATTCCTCTAAAACATAGTGTGCTGTCAAAATAAACATAATCTTGGCCACTGTGGTGGAGAAACCACACAAAAAAACCCAGATATGTTTAGTAAAAGTGATAAAATACTAATTTGACAAATGTGAAAGGAACAGCTGTTTTTTTTCTTTTAAATGAACAGAAATAAAAAGTGTAAATCCTCACTCCCATTATACACTCGAAGTAGAGGTTCCTATTATCTGTATATACTGTGTTTATTGTGTCTGCTTTCTTGTGTAATCTAGAAAACTGGTGTCATTCTTTCTTGATTCCAGAAATGACTGACTCGGAGCAAACATTTCTACACACCGGAATCACTGAGGTCTTGCCTGACCTTCCAGAGGTGGCAAAAGATATTCTAGAAGAGACCTTACAGTCCCTTGGGGTGGAGACGTATGATGATTTTGAGTTTATTGAGGAAGCCGATTTGCTGTCAGTGTTAAGGCCAATTCAAGCCCGAAAACTCCTTTCTGCGTGGAAGCCGAAGTGTAAGTAAAGCATTGTAGTACAGGTTGAAACTGGTATCAAAAGTAGCCTGCATAAAAAAAATCTGTTGGAATTTTAGGAATGTCCACACTATTTTCTTGTGATGATCTTGTGTGTATGTATGTTTTTGCAGACCAGAGACCTGAAAGAAGCAGCTCATCTATTGATGCCTTGCCAGTACCTCCTGTGTCCTTGCAGTCTTTTTCACCCAGATGTTCATCCTCAACCTCTTCCAACACCAGCCAAAGTCCTGATATAGACTGGGTGGATTCCTTTATGATGCCTTGGGATAAGTTCCCAGAGGAACTGATGCAGTCATTGGAGAGAGGAAAACGACCAAGTCCACGAATGAGAAATAAGATGGTCCGGATTTTAGTTTGTGAGATGATGGGAATAACTCCTTGCCCAAGTAAAAGGAATTCTACTGAAATTGCCAAGAAGGTGGTGGCAAAATATCCAAAATCTTTCCAAGACATAATAAAGAAGATGTGACTGAACCTGGGTATCGCCTTCTCACCAAGCAGCTGCAAACTAGGGTAGAGAATGTAAGGCGATCTATGACCCCAAAAATAAGAAAAAGAAGAGCTCTAGTTGATCTCGAAGGTCTATTTCCCATTTGAGTTTTGGGATTGTTATTGTTGAGTCTGTATTTGATATGAGTTTATATAGCTTGGATATTATTTTCTTGGAGGATGTAATTTTCATAATTTCTTCAATTAATTTGGAAGGTTGTAGTGGGTTATTGGTTAC